GAGCGAATAAGGATATAAAGTAGAAGGTAAGAGATTAAAGGAAGGGTGAGAAGAAATTGTATATATTAAATTGTTAATCAAATCAGATTTATACCTTGTGATAAAAGCTATATATATATGTATATATGTAGCTTATATTTCACATAGCAAAGTACGTATATATGCAATAACAGTAATTCTTGGCTAAAATTTTATTTCACGACAATAGAGCATTTTGTGCTTAGTATCAAAAAATTATTTATACAAGTGCAAAAAATAAAATTGATTTTTTTTTTTTTTTTATAACCAAGCAGAAAAAAAAATTTAAATCCATTTAAAACTTTCTATTCAATTCTTTTTCAAAAAAATTGATTGATTTTGCTTTGTTGCATTTGGTCTATCTTTGTTCTTCTAATAAAATTTTTAATTTTTCTTAGGATATTGATATATTCTTCTGTACCTTCCTCCTGAAGTAAAAACGTATGTATGGTTTTCAAACTTGTATTTGCTATATTGGCATTAACCATAGATATCTCATAGCTATTATCTGCATCTTCTAAGTTAATAACAATTGGATCATTAGTTCTGAACATTTTGACAAGCTCTGTAATAACTCGATTATCTAAAGGAACTTCATAAACAATATTTTCTTTAGCAATTGCTAAAAATTTACCAACTTGCATAGAGTTAAGGAGGTCAAGAGCTTCAAGTGCATCTGCAATATCATCAAGCACAGGGTCTGTAGTTTGATGTTGATCTCCCAAGGAACTTTGTAAATAAGAATCAGGAATTTTTGTGTAATGCTAGCAATTTCAAATTGTATTGGCATTAACTTCATCCCAATTTTGAATAATATAATGGATAGCTTGTAATACATTCATTTTTAGATCTTCTGCTTTCTCTTCTTTTTTGACTTCTTGTAGCATTCAACTTAAAAAACACATATAAATTTACATGTTTTATTAATTTAGATTGTATGTACATATGTATAAAAAATTTTTTTTTTTAAAAAAAAAAAGAAAAAAGCTTACCAAATGTGAAGACAATGATAATACCTTTTGAAGCTCATAATAACCCCTGCATCCATGGGCTAAATTCTAGAAGTAGTATTTGGCGGCAAAAATTGTATATCTGTATATTAGAGATTAATATCATTGATTTTATAGCTAGGGCAGTTGCTAAGAAGCAAGAGCAAACATTGGCCCTGATATCTAAGATCAACTTGATGATCAAATTCTTTAATCCATTCTTAAAAGAGGATGTAATCATCCAGGCTTTAGTACTGTTTTTGTATTTTACAGGCAAATTACTAACATTAATATTTTTAAAGCAGCACAGTTTTTTATATTTTCCAATTATTAAAGGATTCAATTTATATAAGCCATCAATATTTGCACAATGTGCAATTGAGAAGCATTCTTTATTTATTTTACATTCAGAAAGATGTTGGGTTGCCAATGTTTTATTGGGTTCCAATCTAAAAGTAAAAGTTAATAATATAATTTAAAATATATATATAAATAAATACTGCTAAGAGATACAAATTTTTTTTAAATTTAAGCAAAAACAAATAAAGGCTTATATCAATAAAAAAGGCCAGTTTCGTCCATATTATATATTCTTTTAACAGGATAATTTGCACATATATTTTTTAATACTAGCAAAATGTTGCTAATTGCTATCTCATCAGCAGATGCAGATTCATCTTGAAGCAAATATAGATGAATACCATTTCGATTTTTGAATTTATAAAGCCAACCAGGTAAAAAGCTTAGTGCTTTTTGAGAAATTTCTAAACTATCAGCAAGTGCCTTTGCCTTTTCAATAAGTATCACTTAAAATCATCTTATGCTGATAAATCAGCATAAACTTTTTAAAAGCAAGATTGAGTTCTGGGTAAATAACAGTTCTGTGACACTTTACATTAGAATTAGTGATTTCGTTTTCAATATGTTCTTTACTTGTCTTCAAAATACACAAAACTGTACTTTTATTAATACTAAGATTCTATTTATTCTTAATCCATTCAACATATTGGGGCTGAGTTTTTTTATTATTATGAGCATAGACACAAAGCTCATGTTTTTGCATATCGGTAAAGGTTGTTTTCTTGGATATTTTTTTTATTCAAACACAAAAAAAATAATTATACATAATATAAGTTTTTATAAGTATATATTAAATAAAAATTTTACAGGAGTTTTTTTTTTTGTCTCTAGTGCACTATTTTTACAAGCCAATGAAATTTTATGTCATGCAAAGTTTTGCTAAATTACACATTTCATTGATTCCATATGCAAGAAAAAAAGAAGGCCATTGGATTTATTAGAGTAGCACTTATGAAATATGTATAAAAATAGTCATTAGAAGGTACTTATTTATTTTTATAATAAAAATCATGAGTAGATTAATAATAAAGTTCATATTATATGAGATGCATATATACAAGTGATATTCTACATAGAACTTTAAGTTCTAAACACAAATCCAGAATTGAACTAGATCAAGATAAAATAGAAAATTACTCTAGACTATATAAAGTGAAAGGTAATTTTAATATTTAATAATTTAAGTTGAGTAAATCTATATTCAAGAATGTGTTTAAATTCAAATAATTGAATTTTCAATTATATACTTTTGCCAAATAGATCCTTATAAGTGGACTAAAAAATTCTTGGTGCCTGAGTTCTTATTTTTTTATACTTAATTAAAAGTAAATTTTTTTTTAGTTATTAAATTCATACCTACTAAATATACTATTGTTAAAAGTAGTCAATAGCATCATAATTAAAGAAATGATAGTGTTACATTAAAAAAAAAAGTCCATCTTGATTTTGACCTTGTCATACTGTACCATGGCACTGTCTTCTAAAAATAGAATAAAAAAAAAGTCTTGATTTTGACCTTATTGCACTTTAACATAGTATTGTTCATTTTTTAAAAATGGAATATTCAATTATATCCTGTCTTACTGGATTCAATAAAGTGATTTTTTATTGGTAAATGTATAGCTTATTTAAAATTTCCACGATTAATTCTTGTTTTTTAAGAAAAATTCAAATAAAAATTCAAATTACCAAAACTAAAGATACAAAATATTGTTGTTACTAGTTGCAATCTATTTTAATGACAATTTTTTTTATATTAAGATACAGTAATTACGATCTTATTACCATAAAACGCAGTGCAAGGTACCCGGGTATTTTACATTCCACATGATCGAAATTTGATTCATACTCCCCAGGTATATTGTATGGCAGTGGGTATATTATATTGGGGGTCTTGTGTAAAGAGAGTATATCAAATGAAATTAGTTGTAGTGTACAATACCCAGATTTATAATTTTTTTTTTAAATTCCATTTCTTGCATTTTTGCAAGACATTTTAGTTGTTTTAAATAGTGTGCGATCGTGTTTTTTTTTTTTTGTTTATTGTTTTTTTTTCACATATATATATAGTACATCTATAATATGAACATTTAAATTTTAAGTTATATCTTTTATGCTGAAAGTGAGCACAATGATAAGCTTTTTTTTTTTGAAAAACTTAAGATAAAATTTTTTTTTTTTTTAAATTCAATTTTTTTTTTTTTAAATAATTTTATGATGGATTTGGAGCAAATTCTTAAAAACCCAAGATTTCAACAAAACAGAAATTGATAGTGGACAGCTCGAGAAAAACTTTTTGTAATCGCTTACCTTAAAAATGTTTCAGGTGCTACTGTTCGTGGAACAGCAGACAAATTTAATATTCAACTGAAACAAATTCGGGAATAGCGTAATAAAGAAGAAGAGCTATTGCTAGCTCAACCTCACGTTAAACATTTAAATGCTGGTGCATGGCCTGCTTACCCTAATATTGAAACTAAGCTTACTAAGTGGGTTCAAAACCTACGCAATAAGTTAAAGCCTGTAAGTCGTATTATGGTGCAAATAAAAGCAGCTTCCCTGGCAAAATCACCACAGTATTTTTCTGAATATCCAAATATCAGTCAATTTAAATGAAGCAATAAGTGGCTTGACGGGTTTTTATGATGTTATAATTTTAGTAATCATCGTAGAACAACAGTTGCTCAAAAACTCCCTGAGAATCTAGAAGTGCAATAGCAAAGTTTTTTAAATTTTATTCAATATCACCGGATTTAGCACAATTATCCATTACCACTAATAGGCAACATGAACGAAACACCTCTTGCTTTCAATATGCCAAGCAATGTGACTATTGATAATGTAGGAAATAAAACTATTAGCATTAGGACTTGTGGTTTTGAAAAATTGTGCTTTACTGTTGTGCTTGCTTGCATGGCAGATGGTAAAAAGTTACCATCTATGATTATTTTTAAGCTAAAAAATATTCCATGCCTTGAATTTCCAACTGATATAATAATTAAAGCTAATGAGAAAGGTTGGATGAATGAAATAGAAATGAATTACTGGGTAAACACAGTTTGGGAAAATCGTATACCGTATGCTAAAAACCCAAGATCTCTACTTGTAATAGATTCTTTTTTGGGTCACTTAGTTTCTTCTGTTAAAAATAATCTTTTTAACAAAAATACTAATATCATGATAATTCCTGAAGGATTAACATCAAAAATTTAGCCTCTTGATGTATCAGTTAATAAGTTTTTCAAAACAAAGGTTTTTTCTTTATTTTCTTTTTCTTTTTTCTTTTTTTTTTTTTCTTTTTTTTTTTTCTTTTTTTTTTTTTCTTTTTTTTTTATTTTTTTAATTTTTTTTTTTTCTTTTTTTTTTTTTATCTTTTAGCAGTGTTGCTAAGAGATGCTATTGGCACTCACGCATACATTATTTATAGATTAGATCTGTATATAACGAATGGATAGCACAAGAAATCAAGCAGTTAACTGCAGCTGGTAAAATAAAACACCTATCTTATAATACTGTTGCAGAATGGGTTAAACAAGCATGGGATGCTGTTGATACCCAACTTATTCAACGGTCTTTCAAATGTTGTGAAATATTAGTTGCAAATGATGGATCAGAAAAAAATTTACTTTTGATTACAATTTAGTTGAAGGATATGAAGCTAATGAATATATTTTTAATCACAATAAAAGATCTGATTTTACAACCTCAACCCACCTAGGTTTCTCCTCTCAACAACATTTTCTACCTCAAAGTTCTTTATTTCAAGATCCTCCATTCCAAGGTTCTTTGTTTTGAAGTTTTTCACCCCAATGTCTTATACTTTAAAATTCTCTACCTCAAAGTTTTCTATCTCAAAATTCCCTGTTTCAAAGTTTTCCACTTCAGAGTTTCTTGTCTCAAAGTTTTCCATCTCAAAAGCTTCCACCTTAGCAGCACTTACTGTCTCAACAAGATTCTCCATACCAACAGCCCCACTTCTAACAGAACCTTCTACAATAAGACTATCCAGTTCTACAATACTTTTTGCCCCAACAATGCCATTATACTCTTCCAATATTTTCAACAATAACTTACCTTCTAACACCAATTTACCTAATAACACCTCTTATTC